AACCCAGCCATTATACTGGCCTTGGGATCATCTTAAATTTAAGAAATACCCCCTTTGAGGAATCTCTAGAAAAAAATTTCCCAGTAATTATTTCTAAACATATAGAGATAGATAAAATCAAGTTTATTGCTGAAATACATGAATCTGTGCACAAAGCGGTATATTCCTAGAGAACGATTTTTGGACCCCCTCCCAGCCCCCGCCCCCTCTCCTATCAATTTTGTACATTTTAAGTTACGATACATTATCGTTGGCAACTCTATTAGCTATATAGATAGCGAATACTTTCGTTTAAAAAGGCCCGTGGCTAGGAATTTTTAAGGGGGGCACAAAGTTTAGAAACTAAAGGTAAGTAAATATGAGGCAGGCCACAGGTGAACATTTTTTGTCCTAAAAACCTCAGAAAAGGTCAAAATTAATGACTTCTTACATATTATACAGGGTAACCCTTAAAGGATGAGACTTCAGAGACACTATTGTACAGAATTTATACAGTATGTTTCCTTAGATTCATAATTCCCTGCAACTGCAAACTTATTTCTTTTTTCCATAAACCATTAAATAAACCACAAAAAGACTACATTCAAGGCAGAAGACTTAACTTAATCGTGGAATTGTCATATTTTAAGAGTTTCACGTTGTCTTTGCACTCCCATTCTTTGTGTGTGTGTGTACGTTATTTTAGATAAATATTATTTCTACACTCGTTCAACCAGCTTGATATGTGAGTAACAATTGAGGGAGACATCATCATTCATCATTTTATAAAACCCTGACAGTGAGAGGGGGGGGGGGTAAACAAATATTTTGACACCCCCCCCCCTGACGTAATGCTAAAACTATCCTGGCTGCGGTCGTCCTCTAATTGTTTTGCCTTTCGGGACCGTAATGGGATTCTGCACCAATTTACAAAAATTATCAAAATTTTACGAAAGAAAATGATTAAAAATTTGGAAATCATTAATTTTCACCGATTGCTGGAAATTTATCGAACCAGGAATGAATCTGAAAATCTTTAAACCAAACTTGAAAGTTGAAATATTATAAATAACAATGGGGGTTCTAATTAATAATGCAACCTCAAATTCCCAGAATAAAAAATTAACAATTATGCACATACTCGCTTTACAAAGACGAATTTTACGTTTCATATGTATTTAATCAAATAATAGCTTTTATTTACCTACGTAGCTATTTCATGTGTTTGAAATTGGGTATATTCCTAGAGAACGATTTTTGGAATTGATTTAACAACTTATTAAAAAGAAGAAATGTAACAATTATGATGTGTCCATTGTCCAGGGACCATAGCTGTATTATTGTGATGTACTGTGTATAACTTGTGAACATTTACATGAATTGTGCACATGTAACTCCTTTTCAGGCTCAATGGGACTGAGCAAATTTATACCGAGGGATAGTCTAATTTCCCTTTTTTTACTATTAACGGAAATAATGTCTGCTATATAATATCTTCTTATTCTCTTTGGTATCAAACAACTAAACATATGGAAGAAGACATTTTAAACTATTCACCAACAGTCATATTTCGTGGGACACTCTGTACCTCATGGAAACAGATCCCTCTGACCCATAATCCATATTTAATCAAAATAAACTTATAAACTATTATTTAAAATGTCGTCATCCATGACCGATCCAGATGAAATACGTATCTACACAGAATGAAATTAATGACAATTTCCTGTTCTCTCATCATTAATTGAAATAAATTTCACGCCTTGTATACACTTCCTATCATTTATCTAACCTCGCTACTAAATCTATGTTTCTACAACCCGTATATAAAAATATACCGTCCAGCTGGGAACTCTTGAATTGTGAATATCGAGATCAATACTTGATCTCGATATTCCGCATGATAATCTGAACCTGAAGGGATAACTGGAATGAAGAGATTAAGCATTTATCCTCCAGTTAAAAGTGCCCATAATGGATGTCAAGATCAAGCGTACAATAGTTCCCAGCTCTTAATGCATTAAAAAGAGGCGGCTTATGAGTAAGAATATGCATAGTTTTGAGGTCCGTTTGTAACATTCAAGGTATTTAGCTTTAAAAGCTTTCCCCGGTATGTTTATCCTGTTTAAGAATTTTATACTTATGAAAGTTTTTTTGTTTTACAAATTTTTCTTTGACTGAAGATAATGATCAAACCTTGGGTCAAAGAAACATTCTGCTTAATGTAGCAAACCTATCGATTTCATAACATTTTGAAACAGGATAAACAACCCCGATTCTTGAATTTTGGGGAGCCTCTGAAATTTATAAAAACTATGAATGTTTAAAAAATCAATGTGGAACGTGTTGTACCCCCCCCCCCCCTGGGTAGGATGGCTAGCTTTTAACTTCTTATAAATTTGATTTTCAAGAATGGATCCAACAAAATCTATAGGCAAACTGTATGTGGTTAATTAGTAAATTTCTCTTAACCTCCCGTTTAAATATTAGTTGTAAATAATTGTTACGTTTATAGAAACAAATTTTCATTCGAATTTATTTTTTTTCTTCTCTTATTGTTCCGCCAGTTGACGACTGTACCAGCTCCTTTATGTACAATGTAATGATATAGAACATGTACGTTGTTCCACAACATGATTTTTCGGTACCGGCTGGAACCATTAATACATATACAGTGAACACCAGAAAGCTCTGGAATATGTAGACCACTTTTGGACCCAAGCTATGACTTTAAAGTGTCCAATATGTACATGAGAAACAGCAATCACCCAGAGAAAACAGACCCATTTCATCTAATAAATTATTCATCAACTAAAAAGTACAACTGTTTGCTTTGTAAGAACTAAAAAAACACAAAATTTATTTCGTCTTCCTATTCCACGGTTTTCAGGTTCTCTGCAAGCTGTATTATTTCCCCACAATTGTATTTAATAAATGATGATAGACCGTGTAAAACGTTTTTCACCAACTTTATAGCTTTGCTTATATTGGCATGAGATAGATAGATTGAAAGTAAAAAAGAAAAAAATTAAAATGTATGACAGACAGTATTACACTAAACGTGATAGTTTCTTGGCAAATAGAGAGTTCGACATTTAGGCATATCGTCTTTTAAGACATACATTGATAACAATAAACCTCTGGAATACAAAGTCGAGTTTTAGACTCAAGTTATGACTTTAAATAGTCAAATAAGTTATTTAATATCTTACACGCTTTGTAATATCATATGCACGTGTACTTGAGTATTGTTTTAATGTCGTCATCCTATTCTACAGTTTTTTAGTTATCCTTGTATTGCATTTCCCAGGATTTCCAAAATATATTCTGCTTTCAGCAACACACTGAAACCATAAAGAATAAAGAAAAGAAGAGAGTAGACCACAGTTTTGAAAGCTCATAAGTCGTGCAACCTTGTATTAATATAAAATTTTTTATTAAATAACTATGTTCACCCTGCATGGAATAACCATGGCGAGATCAGTTAGGCTTCTTCTATTTGAATTTAATAGCGTTGTGTATGGTACTCTAAATGGTACTCTAATTCAAGAATATTTAAACTTATCGAGCTCATTCATATTCTTTTTCAGCTAAAAAAAACTGTGAAAGTAAAAAGGCAAAATATGTGGTTTTATATGTCAAATTGTGATCGACTGTGACAGCTTGCTGGCAGAAAGACCGAAGTCGTGTGAGATCTAAACATCTATGAGTTGTCTTTCAAATATGTGTAATGATAACAATTTACAAGAATTATCAGAATTAAACATTTAAACCCTAGAAAACAACAATATCCTTCATTTTTTGATCAGACAAAGATATCGTTGTGAATCAGACATGGCCATGGTCACTGGAAAATGAAAACTGCAATATTAATTGATCAGTGAGAGTCCCACATTTTCATGTATTCAATTCAGATATTACTTACCACACATCTTACCACACATGAATCCAATCCACAAGCATTTTCTTCTCTTCATGTTAAAATCTCATTTTTATTTATAATAGTTTATTTTACTATAATACCATAACAGTTTACAAAGTAATTAAAAAATATAATAAATACATAAATACAGTATTTTAACTTGAAAAAACTATGAATTCAAAAATAATTTTTAAATTTAAAAAACATTTAATCTTGAAAATGATTTTTGAATTCATATTGGAAAGGTAACTTTTTACAACAGTGTTCAATTAAAAAGATTAATAAGTGTAAAGATGGAGATTCATTGGTGAAAGTAAATTTATTAGTGCGCTCCCCATTGCGTTGCTTTTAATCTTTTTATCTAGAATTCTGATAAATTAGCTTAACTAGTATATTGTAAACACAACAATACAAGTATATTGAAGAACCGTTTCCAGGCATAAAACCATTAAATTATTCATTTAACGCAATTAAAGTTTACACATTATCTACAGCAGTAATTGCATATATATTGAATACAGTACCGGCCTTTACGAATATTTAGAAAACTTACCAATTCTAATATTCGTAAATTTATAGAACAGACAAAAACTTATTTTCTAAGAAAAATTATGCGAAAATGTAAGTTTTTGTTCGTCTTAATTTTAATTGACATAATTAAAATTTTACTAAACATAATTCAAACTTAAAATAATATCATAATTAATTTCTATTAATTGTTGATATTATCTCAGGATTGGACAGACGACACGACAAGATATTAAGAAATTATTTTTAAATTTAATTTCTTTAAAAGTAAAAAAATGATAGATTAGGAAGATAAGAAGAGTGAGATTCAGAACTAAGGTACTTATGAGCTACTGAGCTGCAAGGCTACTGAGCTACTTTGCTTCTGTGCCACCCATGGATGCCAAGTTGCTTTCTGATAGCTAAGCTGCTGACCTCTGCTGAATAGCAAATATACAATATTGCATAAAACTACTGAGCTAGTTTAACTGCTAAGCTATTAAGCTACTGGGCTATACCTAAGTGGAAGGAAAGAAGATTTGAAAAGTAAAGAATTGATGAATTTGACTAGTTTGGCACATCTGGGAGGAATTTGGATTCCTTTTTGAGCATTTAAAGGTGATAACAACAGATTATTTAGAAAATAATCGTTCATTTAATAAACGAAAATCAACATAAAAAATACTAAGGATGAGGCTAAAATATCTATCATAATTATAAAGAAAAAGATAAAATTAGTAATAAATGATTTTGCAGTTTCATCTTTCAATATTTTTTATCTGTTTACGTTTATTTAATTTACAATATAATTATACTTAACGAACAGAATTGAAGCAGGTTTGATTAAATAATCTTAGGGCAATGATAAAAATTAGATTCATTCAAAATAATTCATTTATCATTATGGAACAGAAGCACATACTGCTTGGGGAAGGGTGCAAAGACTGATAAATGCAGAAATATGTCAAATTTAATTCAAATTAAACAATAATTCAATTATTTTATGTTTTAATATTTTTGAGCATTCATTTCCCAAGACATTGCTGCATCCGCTTTATACAATGGAATAACCTCCTACTGATAAAGTATCACAGATTATTTGAACTCTTTTTTCCAGAAACCTGATTTATCAAATAGTTTGGTTCGAAATTATTTGTCCCACAGTTTTCTGGATTAGCTGCGAGGAAACTTACAGATCTCTGGAGATCTGAAGGTTTTTGCACAAATTTAAAAAATGAGAAAATTTATTATTTTTGAAAATGAAATGACTAATCTGAGCCGTACACTGTAGGAGTTTTGAAAAATAATGAAACTTTTTTCATTTTTAATTTGGCATTATTTTTCCTGAAGGTATTTTCGAGGCAGCTAGAAAAAAGATAACCCTAATTTAAAAAGTAATTAGCTTAACTTTTCATAGCTGACAAATAAGATAATTAAGTCATTGTGACTTAAAAATGTCCTTTTTTGTGAGCAAAGACAGGGTTTGTAAAGGCTGCGATGAGTGAGGTATCTCCGTAGTAGCTCCTGTGCCTGAGGCAGAGGAAGGCGGATAGGAAGCATGAGATGATGAGGATTCCCAGCAGGATTATCAAGGTTGCAGCAAAGGCAGGGGTAGACATACAGATATAACCCTGAGTTAGAAACTGAGTTAAAAATAAATTTGACTAAGATTATCTTTAAAAAAAGGGAAATATTTTTAGACAATGTTTAAGGTTTCAAAATACCTGTTCCTCATGGTAAGACTGAGCAACTGAAGGATAGACATCAACTACAGTATCGTTGTTTCCCTCCTTGATGTCAAAGGTGAGGTCGCCGCTGGATACAACGTGGATAACCTTCTGAACTCCGATATCTTCCATCTCCTCGACTTCGGTCTCTCCGTCGTCCCTCTTCACTCGGAAGTTAGGACTGTAAGGAATATCTCTCTTTGTTCTGGTAGGTCCGCTGTATGAGGACTGGGGAGGTGCTACTGGAGCTCCGTAGGTCTCGCTGGAGGAAGCATAGCTTGATTGTGTGGTGTAAGCTACATCGTTGCATTGGTCTGGGCACTGGTACCGACAGATCTGGATGGTGCACTGGAAGTGAACCTCCATGGAATCAGGGAACTTGAAGGCCTGGAAGTGAGCATAAGAGAGGACGGAAGCGCTGGCACCGAAATTCTTAATCTTGGTGAACTTGGACATGAGCTTTGGTCGAGTGACACATCCCTTTTGGTCAACGAGCTGAATAGGGGCACGCTTACCGTCATGAGCCATGCAGTTGCGTACCAGCATATCAAACTTCTGTTCATCGTCTTTGATTGCAAGAACCATTGTCATGGTTTGACCGATCTTGACAAGCCCGCTGACCTCGCTAGCCCAGGGTCCCTTTCCAACCTGGATCTGCATCCAGCAACCAACATTGTCTCCAGCAAAGTCAGCTCGGACAACATCCAACATGTCGACGGGGAAGGGCCTGCACAGAAAAATAGTCATTCATATTAAATCAAGTCAATTTATAAATCATTCATAAAATCCCGCCGCCAGTAAAACTATTTGCAAACTAAATATTTAGCATACCTGAATGTAACAGATTTCTCGTACTGGTCGTGCCACGTGCATCGGAGTTTTCTTGCCTGGTCCCAGACCTCTTGAACCTGAGGGTCATATTGGACCACGATGGTATTTTCAAAGTAGGTTCCGGATCCAGAATCAGCTCCGTATCCGTAAAGTCCGTTCTCTGAAAATATGCAGAGTTATGACCAGTGGAAATCCTTTTTTTTCAAGCGCGGTAACCTTTCCCGTAAGAGCGTGCAGTGCGTGCGTATCATTGGATCCATGACATTTAACTCTTTCAAACTGCATTATTACGTAACCTTCAACTTATCCAACAATGACATATTAAAATGGTTCAAAATTGTCAAATTTCTACTTTCTGGAAAATTGCAAAATATTGTGCTTTGTAGAGCTTGTATTTAATATATTTTGTGGTTAAAAGGGGAGGAGCTGGCTCATGATTTGTCATCTAGCGCGACGGACGGGTTTTCACTAAATATATCGACCAAAAAGAGGGAAGGAAAAACGATAGGTGTTTACCTGTGTTTCCAGTAGTTCCACAGGAGTTAATTGCAACATCAAACTGAGCATCACTTCGTCCTACTCCAGCTGGAAGATGGACACAGTTGACATCACTGTAGAAGCCCTTGCTGAAGATGATTCCGTAGAACGGTTTGTCGAACTTGATTGAAACCTTCATGAGGTTCTTCTCGCATTGCACGTCAAGGCTGATAATTTTGGGCATGTCGGGCTGAGCCTGAGGCCAGGCCTCGTCACTCTTAGTTGGCTGGACATAGGTTGGTGCATTGTTAGTTGGTTTGGCTACTGGAGCATAGGTTTGCTTCTGAGGAATAGGAGCAGGAGCAGGTTTATATGCAGGTTTGGGCCTGTAAGAGGGTTTAGGAGGAGCAGGTCTTGGCTGGTAAGCGGGCTTGGGAGGAGCATAAGTAGGCTTAGGCTTGTACTGAGGCTTCTTCTGTGGAGGAGGAGGAGGTCTCTGAGGTTTGTTGTATTGAGGTTTGGGAGCTGAGGCAGCTGGTCCCTGGTATTGAGGCTTTGGCGGAGGAGGCCTGGGTTTGTATTGAGGAGGGTTCTGAGGAGGGTTGTAGGGCTGCTGAGGTGCAGGTCGGGGAGCATTGTAAGCAGGCTTAGGTGGAGACGGACGGCGTGGGGGAGGTGGTCTGTTATAGGCAGGTTTGGGTCCAGCAGGGATAACGATGGATCCAGGTCTTACTGGAACTGGGAGAGGGACTGGGATAGGTCCTGCAGCTTGGGGTTGGTAGTTGGTAACAGGAGGAGCTTGGGGTGCTCCATAGTCATCGATTGGAGAAGCCTGAGGAGCTCCGTAGCTGTCTCCGGCGGGAGCCTGAGGGGCACTGTAGCTGTCAGCACTCGGAGCTCCGTATGTATCTCCAGCTGGGGCCTGAATAGGAGCTGGAGCAGGAACATGAGCATGGTCGTGGTCGTGTGAGTGTCCACCGCCATCTCTCTCCTCGGCAAATACTGTTTGTGAGAATTGGCTTTCTTCTGCTAGCTGATCCTCGGCAAAGTCATCATCAATCCTATCTTCTGCAACTGAGACTGTTTCATCTCCACTCACAGGAATACCTTCGACTACTGCAACCTGCTCGCTTTCCTCGCATGTACCCTAAAAAAAGAGATAAAAATCAAAACCATTCTTGTTGCATTTCATAAAAAATTAATCCATTTTGCAATTTTGATAAATTTTTCTATAATAAGAACTGATTGATTTTTAATTCACAACCACAAACAAAGTTCAATTATAATTAATTTATAATAAAACAGGCGGAACTGAATTAACCTTGCGAAGAGTATAATTAGAAATTAATGATTAATCAAAACATTTTATTTTTCAACGTGTACACTGAAAAAATTTAGTAATATTTGAACTAATCAACCAGAAAATACTCTAAATAAAGTTTATTCAATCGTGAAAATTTCTATAAATAAAATCTTTTAAAAGCGGCCATGTTATGTTTTTATATTTCATAAAGATGCAATGAACCATTGAACCACAATATACTAAACAGAGAAGCAGAGAGGGGGGGGAGGAGTTGAAAGAAAGTAAAGGGGGGGAGGGGGGAGCATAGGAAAAATTCTTAATAATTTCTTTAGTTAGAATGCTTTAGAATATACTAGACTTCGATTTGTACCGTTTGATAAGGATATGGACTGGATAAGGTATAAGAATGAAGGATATGGGTTGGATAAGGTATAAGAATGAAGGATATGGGTTGGATATGGTATAAGAATGAAGGATATGGGTTGGATATGGTATAAGGATGAAGAATATGGTTTGGATAAGGTATAAGGATGAAGAATATGGGTTGGATAAGGTATAAGAATGAAGGATATGGGTTGGATAAGGTATAAGAATGAAGGATATGGGTTGGATAAGGAATAAGAATGAAGGATATGGGTTGGATATGGTATAAGGATGAAGAATATGGGTTGCATATGGTATAAGGATGAAGAATATGGGTTGAAAATGGTATAAGGATGAAGGATATGGGTTGGATATGGTATACGGATGAAGGATATGGGTTGGATAAGGTATATGAATGAAGGATATGGGTTGGATATGGTATAAGGATGAAGAATATGGGTTGGATATGGTATAAGGATGAAGAATATAGGTTGGATATGGTATACGGATGAAGGATATGGGTTGGATAAGGTATAAGGATGAAGGATATGGGTTTGGATAAGGTATAAGGATGAATGATATGGGTTGGATAAGGTATAAGGATGAAGGATATGGGTTGGATATGGTATAAGGATGAAGGTATGGGTTGGATATGGTATACGGATGAAGGATCTGGGTTGGATAAGGTATAAGGATGAAGGATATGGGTTGGATAAGATATAAGGATGAAGGATATGGGTTGGATAAGGTATAAGGATGAAGGATATGGGTTTGATAAGGTATAAGGATGAAGGATATGGGTTTGGATAAGATATAAGGATGAAGGATATGGGTTGGATAAGGTATAAGGATGAAGGATATGGGTTGGATAAGGTATAAGGATGAATGATATGGGTTGGATAAGGTATAAGAATGAAGGATATGGGTTGGATAAGATATAAGGATGAATGATATGGGTTGGATAAGGTATAAGGATGAAGGATATGGGTTGGATAAGATATAAGAATGAAGGATATGGGTTGGATAAGGAATAAGAATGAAGGATATGGGGTTGGATAAGGTATAAGGATGAAAGATATGGGTTGGATAAGGTATAAGAATGAAATATATGGGTTGGATAAGGTATAAGAATGAAGGATAAGGGTTGGAATGGTTATGGTATAAGGATGAAGGATATGGGTTGGATAAGGTATAAGAATGAAGGATATCGGTTGGATAAGGTATGAGGATGAAGGATATGGGTTTGATAAGGTATAAGGATGAAGGATATGGGTTGGATAAGGTATAAGGATGAAGAATATGGGTTGGATAAGGTGTGAGGATGAAGCAAATGGGTTGAATAAGGTATAAGGATGAAGGATATGGGTTGGAAAAGGTGTAAAATTTAAGGATATGGGTTGGATAAGGTATAAGGATGAAGGATATGGGTTGGATATGGTATAAGGATGAAGGATATGGGCGGGATGAGGGATATGTATCATCATGTAGACGTGGGTATAGGTTGTAATTGATGTACTAGAGACCGGTTGCATGTTCGCAGTAAAGAATGTATGGTTGGCCTTCATGCACACACAAAATATTTGAAAACTTTCCATTTCTAAAATGCAAATATTTGAAATATTTGGAGATGTTAGGATACAGGATTACAGAGGGGGAGGTGTCTATATTGACAAGATGTGTTAAAGATGAGTGGGAGGAATGAAAGTTTACGGATGACTGAATATGAATTAATAATGGAGGTTTCTAAACCTGGTGTGGAATATGGATGAGGTAAGAATAGGATTCTACTAAGGGATGGGTTGAAGATTGAAACAAATACGATTGATGGGTCGGATAAATAATCGATGAAAAAATTCTGGATTATGGATCAATGAATTAATCTCAATGTGGGAAAGATGTAAAAATAAAAACAGTTTATTAAAGAATGATTTGAAAAAAATACATATATATATGAGTCATGAATGAGGAAGGAATAAATGCATGAGACATGAATGAGGTTTTGATGAAGTTTGGATGAGGCATGTATGAAGTTTGTATTATGTTTGAATGAGGCATTAATAAAGTACGGATGATGAAGGTTAAGGTTTGGATGAGGTATGAAATGAATGAGGAATGGATGAGGGGTATGGATGAACGGGAAAGTAGGTCAGGTAGATATTAGGGGTTTAAGATCTATGCAAAATATAGCAGGATATGCGGCTTCTCTATGTATACCTAAATATTATCATCAACCACCATCATCAAGAGGTGTACAGGGGGGGGGCACAATCAGGGAATGGAGGAGACTAAAACAACAATTGCGTTTCTGAACGACTTCAGAAGATTTTTTTTATATTTACTCAACTACGGAGCTTGAAAGAAATGTAATATATAAAAAGGAATTTAAAAAAATATATTTAAGTCTATAGTCAGAATAGGCATAAACCGATAACAGTTTTTGTTTAATGTTTTTTTAATCTCTCTGGCTTTATCTGAATATAAAATTTTATATCAAGAGTTAAGGTTGCACCATCTATAATGACCCCCCTCCCCTCCCCCCCCTCTCAACCCCCCTCATGCTCTGACAAGTTCCGATAAAATATTTATATTACGTTTCAATGATTATATCCCCGTCACCCCTGACAAGTTCTCTTCCAACCCCTGGGAATAATGTTGGGTATTTAGAGAATGTATGACCTTGTTAATTAAAGTCTGAACAGATCTAATTTTATCACGTAATAAAGCAAAGATAACAACCTTAGCTCCCACAAGAGAGAAATATACATGAGGAGGGGGGTAGTACTTTAAGAAGGGGAAGCTTCATATATGTAAGATTGCTTCATGCAAGAGACGGAGAGGGGGGTGGGAAAACGGAAGGATGTATTTATGTCATTTTTTGCCTCGGTAAACCCAAACCAGGATTTACTGATAGGAAATGAGTTCACTTATAATATATTAGTAAATGATCAATAATTTAAATTGTCAGAATGATAATTAGCTTTTGTAATTACTACATACTATTTATTGGCTATCCAGAGTAGAGTAGATATAATATACTTGATTATAAATATGGGGGGGGGGTTGTAAGGGAAAGTAAATTCCATCTACGGCATTCATATCCCTCGTTTCAGGGCCATCGCCCCCCCCCCCTTCCCTCTCCAGTCTGATACCCCTTATCCACTCCCCTCTAACCGTCTGGTCAGGCTGTACGGGAATGTACGGCATGGTCAGGCAGTTGGCGGCATGGGCAGGCATGGTTTGGCCTAAGCTAGGAGGTATGTAATATGTGAGTAGGCCACTAGGTCTGGCAGTTCCCCTCAGGCCAATTAAGCAAACTGCTTCAAGCCACCTTGGCCCTGAACTCCTGAAATCTGCCTGCTATATACCAGATTCTTTAAACATTCATTTTTTCTTTAGAAAAATATATTTTTATCTGTTTTAGATTTGTAATAAAGTTTTGAACCACCACCCCCCTCTCTGTTCACTCAGCACACTAACCCAATCTTCTGGCAGGTTTAGAAACCTGGGTTGGTTCCGGGAACTCTTATTTTTATCACCCTTTCACTTTCAAGCAACCCTTTCCCTTTCAAGCAACCAATTACCTTTCAAGCATCCCTTTCCCCTCTTAAACAACCCTTTCCCTTTCAAACAACCATTTCCCTTTCAATCAAAACAGTTTCCCTTTAATTCAAAAAAATTTTCCTTTCATTCAAAACGGATTCTCTTTCAAGCAACTTTTTGCATAAACCCAATCTTTTTAATTCGAACTTTTATAGTAGCATCAAAACCGTTTCTGTTTTAACCATCGCCTTTTCTTTTCATTTCAACGCTTTTCTTTTCAATCCCAACCTTTCTATTAAATCAGTTTTCCTTTCTATAACCCTTTCCCTTTCCATCAAAAACTTTTCATTTTGGTTTTATTCTTATTTCAAAATATTTAGATTTTTGATTTTTCATTCTAAGAAAAACAAAATTATTTTTGCTTTTATTTTTCCGCAGAAGACGCTCTTAAAATGTGCTCTTTTTCTTGTTAAACAATATTTTTCAATGATGAAATGCCCCCCCCCCTCAAGACTTAAGTCCTGCTCAATCTAAATTTTAAATTTCACAAATATATTAATTTAGTTAAACAATTATTAGTACTTAACAACCCGTGTATATATATCCTTAAGACAACATATATAGAAGAGAAATTAGGCTTTAGGCAAAACTTGACCAAATCAGCGCAAAGCAAATCCTTTCCCCTGCCAATATAATTTCATAATAGCGTTCATGATTTGCCTTCCTCAATCCATTTTAAAGAGGGAGAGGGAGAGGGAGGGGGGGGGGGAATTAATATCATTTAATTAAAAGATTGAAATGATATAAACCTTATTGAGGAAAGGGAAAGATAATTCGTACAGTATTAGAATAATGAATACGAGTACAACTGCAGGTAAGAAGAGGACATATATTAACCAATAAAAGATCAACTGTGAAAGGAAAAATATTAACTTTTAGTAATTAGATATAAACACTAAAAGATAAAAACTAAAGATGAGGATTTCAATAAAATAAAACTTAACTTAAAAGAAAAGAAAATCATTTAAAAAAATGTCAACTTCCAGGATATTTAACAAACAATTATTCACAAGAATATCGACCTTTAAAATAATAGGAAAAAAATATCAACAAGAATTAAATAGAAATGTATTAAATGTATATCAACTAAACAGAAAAGAGAGATTGTCAACCCCAAAGTAAATATCACAGCGCAATATCAAAAAGTTAAGTTTTATCTTTATCAACCAGAAATGACCAATTATTAACCAAAATATTTAACGTCTACTAAGATATTATATACATTTATGTAAAAACATGACTAAAAACTTGAGAGTAAATACGCGGATAAAATATCAATCAGGAATTGTTGAATGAATGGACCAAAAAAAACAAATTACTCACGTCTATAGGAGCGTGAGCCAAAGGAAATTGAAAGTTCCGAAACTGGTTTCATAGAAAGGAAAAATGCATTTTGAGGAGAGAACGGAAGGGAAAGTGAAAAACAGGACCTTCAAAAAAACCCGGTGTTATCCTCAACAAATAACGAAAAGGAAAGTAAAAAGTAAAAGTATGGAAAAACTAAAAACATGAGTATACGTATAAACTTTACTAATTTAACATTTAATACTTTTTTACAATTGTGGGGATAAAACTGAAAACCCAAATTATTAAGAAAAGACATTTTCTGAGAAGATAATATAGGATAAATAAAAAATGGCGACCAATAGATGAAAATATTTCAAGCCAAAAATTTAAGTTGGAATTTAAACACTTGGACGAATTCAGAAAGATTTTTTAGCATATAATTCTAGTTCAAATTTCGGTTTACTAATAAAAAATAAATCATTGAGAATGAATCTACCGTAACAAACTTGGCCTGTGAACTTACTTAATGTACGCAAAAATAAAACCAGTGATGCGTACATGCGTATACTTGGCTAACATAACGAATTAATAATATTTGACCCCAAGAAATGGCGCGAGTATTTTTGGTTCCCGTGTGGACGGTTCTAGGCTGGACCGGCGGGAACCAACTTTCTCCCGCCTCAGGCGAACTGGTCAACCTGGTGGAATGTAGGGAAAATTCAAACCAACTTTCACCGCCAGAATTGCTCTATCCTATACCCTTGACCCAACCAATTAAAACCTTCAAATATTCATCTAATTCCGGCAAAAATATGCTTATAATCTTAGAAGTTATAAAAACAACAAATTCTGATAAAATCAAAATGAATGAAACTACATGAGTAATTTTCTGTGTCTTTTTCAATACTAATAATGAATAACTTACCAGCGCTATCAATGCGGCGAATAATATACTTCTTAAAATCATATTAAATCTGTTAACTCCACTAATCTGAAAAAAGAATTGTTAAGAATAAAGTTTATATGCTCGTATGAAATATCATAATTTTGTTTACACAGTTCAGAAATATTTATAAAAATCTGTGAATTGTAAAAGTTTTTCCTATATTTAATCCGTTTCTTTGAATGAATGACAATGAATAAAAGAATTTATGTCTTTACTGCACGGCTAACCAGATGTCATTGAATAATGTTCTATTTTCACACACTCTCATTAACTCACACACACCCTCAACACAACTACTTAGTTAATTAATTGATAAGTACTTGTTCAACATTTCTCAACTTAGGATTCTTAGAATTTTCAGTTTTAAAGCGTATTCATTAATTTCCAATTTTTACTTTTTCTACGAATAATTTTGAACACTTTTTATGTTTATAAACACAAACAATGTATTTCATTAAAGTTTTCTGAGTAATTTCAAACTGACGGCCTTGTACTGAGTGCGAGAATTGTGCGTATTTTTCATGTTCCATTGTGTTCTTCAGTTTTGTCAGGATACGTGTCTCAGAAGCCTAATTTTGAGTAGGAACCCTGACCTTAGAGAAATAGGCCCGAATTTGGTAGGAAAAAACAAGGAAACAAGGAGAATAATATGTTTTGAAATAAATTGCTTCCGTTGTCACCCCCCCCCCCCACACACACACACATCCTGAACATTTTAAAGACATTTAATTACAGCTTGAAGATAATAAGAGAAAAGTAGTTTGTACTGCTGAGTCTACGCATTGTTAAAAACGCGTACAGCTAAAACTTGAAACATACATATGAATCTTTTGAGTACAAGTACTTTTTGTACTTTGTGACTATCTTAATAATTGTACTTTGTACTATATACTTTAAACTATAAGTGTACTGTATTGTATTCCTTAAAAGAGTTGTGTAAAAGTTGTAAAGATGTAGATATTTGATTTAATTCTGTATTAGTTTGCGAAAATGTCGTACACCATGATAAGGAGAAAACGTTAAAAGTTTGTTTGGTAATGACAAATTTTAATCGCCAACATGTCTTAAAGTTCGGACATTTATTTTGATTTGTTTTCGGTGTAAATATATACCATTAACAACATTTAACAGATGGAAAGTAACTATTTTCACTTTTTGTATTGTCTCGCCATATTTATTTCGTTAAACAATTGACGCCGGAGGAATAGAAATTTGTGAGAAAACCTTTCTTATTCATTTGCAAATTAAAGCACAAGCTTGTGGTGCAGTTGCAAGTGTCTGTAAATACAACAATAATAATCAAATAATTATTTATTTTCATTACTTATTGATATTAGAAAATGCTCAGAAGCTGGGAAATATTCACTGATTCCTTGAGCATATGTCTAGTAGTAGATGTTAGTATATGACCTTGATGGATGCGCGCCAGCGCGCCAAGAAAAATATTTCTTAACGCGCTAGCCGCGGGCAGTCAGTCAGAAATCCGTAAAGGGATTCAACCCCCCCCCCCCCTCTCCCATACCTCTTAAACACAATCTTGCAAACTTGGGGTTTCTAATATTTCCCTATGCTGAGCGTCCCTTTTCAAAGTTGACTCTACTTTATTCCCCCCCTTTTCTTTTAAAAACTATTCAAAAATAATATTGTTTAAACTTTTTAGTGTCTGTAATGTTATTTTAAATTTACGTGTTCTGTAAAATGGACAAAATAATTTGCTTTATGCCTTACAGAAATACTCAAGTTCTGCATTTAATAATTAAATGTGTTCAACGAATTAAATTATATATTTTGTTTGAAATATATATGTGTTTTATGTTCAGTATTGGAAATACTTAGTGTTTCTTATATACTATTTTGATGTTTTAGTATTTAAAATAAAGTAATATATGTCATTATCAAAAAGCAATTTGTCAGATGCAAACAAAATAAATGTTCCATATCAAGTATTGTAATATGTGATCTATATTCAGTTTTGCATTAATTTTTAATTCAGTGCAGTAAAGTACAATATGTATTCTGGGTATTATAATTAAATGTAATGTGCTCTGTTTCTAATTTGTATTGTAGGCTGCTTATTGTATAGTATTGCACTAGGTATGGTTTGTATATGGTATTGTAATATCTTAAGTTACTATTGTTAACTAACTTTTCAACCTATTTAATTCTGATTTAGAAAATTCTATGGTTTCAGTTTAATGGCAGAAAGGTTTTTTTAATTGGCTTAGTCCGATTAGACTGTGCCCAAAACAGTATAAATATATACGACGTATTTTGTGAAATTTAAATAGAGTAAGCTTTTTAAATATTGAAAACTTTAAACTTCTAATTTTTGTATATCTTTCATATATATATATATATATATATTGTTTTTACGTGTAAGGAGTTGAGTCTTTGCTACAAACTTGAATATTCCATTCCCTTTATCTTTGCAACCTGGCGAGGTAAACCTTAGATATTTCAAATTTAGATTACATGATCTAACAGAGTCTACAGTTTGAAATATCTATGGTCTACGACATTGGGTTGCAAAGCTAGAGGTATTAAAATATCAGAGTTTGTGGGGAAAACTCAATTCCTTTATCTATTATTGCAAGAATCAGAGTAAAATATTTTGTAAATAATTGTAATCAATCGCGAGNGGGGTTGACACAGGGTTATCATGTTTTATTTCTATGAAGTATAATCGTGAAGTAGGTGACTTTTTATTATACAGTTCAAATGAGCAGCAGGCCTCTGGTAGGAGGGGGGTGGGGATTAAAGACGAAAAGGACAGGAGATACTAACAAATAATTTCAACGCGATCTACTTGTAATGAAAATTATGTGAATTTTTGAGTCAAGACATTTTTCAATCAAGATAAAGAGAGAAGGCTTGAAGAGTGAAGAGTTAGGGGGGAGAGGGTAACATGCACGACATGCCCCCCCCTGATTTCAGGGAGTGGCAAATTGGGAGGGGGGGGCCGGGGGGGTTATGAGCTAAAAGGGTATTTACTTAACGTATTCTAGGGTGTTGAGCTTTGACTTAGTTTATTTAGCCTAAACCAGAGGTGTTTATAATATATAATATATATCTTTTCAATTTATTGATTTGTATATAAATATATATATATATGTATATATGTGTATACAAGTACTTAAATTCTGTGGTTTAGTATGATGAGGGTTGAAGGTGTGTTCTGCAATATTACACCCATACTCGACCATACACACCCTTTATTTACATCTATTCAACTTATTTAAATACCATTAATTTTCATCATTATTATTCCATTTCATTATCCCCAGAAATATGTGAAGAAACTCGTTTTTGTAATACATACTTTTCTTATGCTTTTATAAGATTGATATTATTCTAATCATTATTACAAAAGCTGTTATTTTTCTTAAGCTACTCAATGTAAAATTGTACATTTTTGTAAAATTTCTTAAAATTATGAAATTTCAAGTTTAAATTAGTTAATATTTTATCAAGATTAAAGGAAAATGAAAGTGTGTGTGTGTGTAGAAAGTTAGCTGAGGGCTCGTAGTTGTCCCTGAAATTCCGGGAAGTAGGGATGGAGAGGGGGGGGGGGGTCTGAAGATTCCATTTATGATAGTATCTTAGAACTTAAAATTTATAATTAATTATTATCTAAATTAAATGCCTTAACTCATTATAATTGACCCCCCTCCTCCCCCCCCACCCCTTACATTAAAAATAGCTTTTTGCCTCGCCCATTCCTTACTCAAAAAAACATATAAAAACACTGAAGAAAAACTGGGAACTTCTTAAAGGAATGAAAATAGCAACTAAGAAAAAAGTTTACCAATATTTTTAAAACTCTGTACATCTTTGAAAAAAAAAATTAAAATTTGAGACACCCTTGAACCAAACTATAAAAAATGTATTTTTATCCCAACAATAAAATAGATTTAAAAATATTTGAAAAGAATTTAAATTATTTTGAATAAAAGTAAAAGTATGAATCCTAGACTTGAGCTCCAACGAAATGGAAAGTTACACAATACCGGGTTCCCGTTTCACGCAATCTGTACGCATTCTTCACACGTACACACACACTGGAACTCTAAATATCTGATTTTAAAAAAATAACTTATACTTACATTTAGGAACTGAATGATGTGCCAAGGGAAAAACAAACTTAAAGAAGACACACACTATTCTACTAGATACTAATCCGCAATTCACATATCCTGTAAACGTCCTCTTTACTCCGTGTCTTGAACCCGACTGATCATGCCCGCCTGTGCGCCGGTGAAATCTCCCCATGCTATAGGCCTGAAGTGGTTAGTTCGGGGGAGGGGGGAATATGGCATAGAGTGGGAGTGGGGGGGGAGTGAACTTTCATTCATATTATTTGGCTGGTGAGTAGACTGCAAGGACACCTAGTGGTCCAGCCCCCCCTCCCCTCCTGCTCCTGCTGGTCACTTTATTACGTGCCTTTAATTATTCAATACTATTTTTTAAGTTTTAAACACTTATCAAATAAAATCAATTTAGAAATCGAAGTTTTTATCCTGTATGTTATCAAAAACATTGAGCTCCTTAGTTTTAATGTTCAGAAGTCAAACCTCAAGTAAAATTAGTAAAATTAGTAAAATCGATTAAAAAAAATATATATATATATATATGCTAAATAAGAAAGTTTAAATTAGTTAATTGATCAGTGTATATGTGTCTATTTGATCAGTGATTAGTAGATCCATAATATTTCAAGGTTATCCCTCCACCTCTAGTATATCTGGTAGCTCCTCTATACAGTCTTGTCCTTGAAGATCTGGGAAATTACGAAACACATTGAAATACCTCATATATGATACTTGATTTATTGCCTGTATAAATTTAATAAAAGTCATTGATTAGCTCCTCCACGCGTATCCTTGACCAAGTTGAAGAGCTAAGATGGACAAAACATGTAGAATACTTGAACCATGTTTTACATGTATTAAACTGACAAGCTTGGGAGGCCATCCTGCAAATATACAATTATTATGTACAATGTACATTGTACATATATTCAAATTCATATTAGACCTGCACATATGTGCTACAATTTATGCACAATTACAAAAATACGGTTTAATTAGTAATACAGTTGTTAACCAAACAGAGACTGAATGTTAATAATTTGAGCCGTGGCTCAAATATGGTTGGTTCCACTTAAAATTGTATTTAATTTTTCAAGATTTAAGCCGGCGCTCAATTGAAACCGGTTTTTGGGAATTTGAGACGCGGCTTAAATTCATTAAATTCGGACACAGATCAAGTTTCCTTACATCATCAACAAAAAAATAAATGTACCCTGAATGTTAAAAACCATGTTCTGATGGGTCATGTTAAAGCAAGTTTACATATTTCTCTTTCAAAAATTCCATGATGTTTGGAAGAAGTTTTATATTTTTTTCTAGATTGAATGCATGGGTTGGCCTTAAATCAGATTTCCGAAACGTCTTCTCTATATTATGATGAACATTTAACAACTCAACATCGTTCCTATACATGGACAGAGCTTGGAACTTAAGTTAAACCATTATAACTTTCCTTTCATGTTTAGGTTTTCCCCATTTCAATTAGTGCCCCTACCCTTGAACAAATAATTAATCGTTGTAGGCCAATTTTTGATATTTTAGTGGACATATCTGAGCCATGTGTTAATGTTCCTATAATTTTTTCTGGTATATTACAAACCATTATTAGTTGCAACATCTCAACTATAAGATTAAACCAAAGGAATTGAGTCTTTGATTTTCTAATCCCTATGTCTTTTGAACCCAATGTCGTATACGTTTGATCGTTCAAACAATGAATTCTGTTAAATAAAACAATATAAGTTTGAAATATCAAAGGTTTATACCATCAAGTTGCTTAGATAACTTGAGTTTTGTTGCAAAAACTAAATTCCTTTACAATTTGAAACATTTTCTCGTAATTTTATCTTAGGTTTAAATAGCGCTTAACTTTAACGTTTGAACTCGATATTTACTCGAGAATGTATTTATTCTGCAGATCTCGAAATATCGTTGAATTTTTCGCCAAATTTTCCTATTCTTCTTCATCTATATTGTTATAATAACAAGCTTTTTCACAAACTTCAAAGATTTCGTAACACATAATACTACTTTTCGGCTGGTATTTTTTACGAAGGATCAAACTTAAAAGGAAGAATTATGTAACGGACATTAAAACACTCATTATGATCCTTTAAAAATTATCATAAAGAGGAGAGTGTATGGGATTTTTACACTATCTACGATCATTACTCTAAAAATCTTCTTTACACTGTTTATGCTCACTTAGAAAACATGTTTTTATTTATCCTCTTATTTACACTAATTAAGAGCATTTAAAAAACTAGGCTTTTAGGGCGCTTCGCGCTCATCTTCTATTTCAACTTTTAATTGTGGCTTTATCTCTGAACATCTTCTCTTTGCACAGTATAAAACAAAAACAAAAAAGTTTGCGGATTTCATAATATTTTTTTGCGCATTTTCAAAATTTTTCAAAAATAAAAAACTTTTAAACACAAATTTTTAAAATTTTGATCATTCATAAACCTTCCCTGGGGTCACGTGAGGTCCCACAAAAAATTTGGGCCCGATCGGTTCAGCCTTTTTGACGTTTATTGGATACAAACAAACAGACAAACACTCAGACAAGCCAAATTTATATATAGATGATCCTTTCTATACAAATGTTATTGATGTTCCCCTTTTTGACACTTTTTATGAACCTTCATATACAATTGTTCTTAGGATGCTTTTTTTCTATATACTCTTTTTGATTCTTCTAAAAATACTCTTCTTGATATTCTTTCTTATTTCTAATTAAATATGATCTTAAATTATATTCTAAATACATAAATTTTCAGAATTTCGATATTCTAATTTCAGAACCGATACATATAAAGTTTAATTAGTGTTCTTAGAGAACCAAAACAGTATAAATATAATACGGTAAGAGGCGTACTCGGGGGGTGGGGGGCTTTGGTAGCTCAATCCCCTATTGATCGGTGAAATCTATGGTTTCCGGGATATTTTCAGGCCTTCACGTGTGCTGAGCCTCCCCATTGAAAGAAAAAAATATAGAAGCCCCACTGGACAAATTCCTGAGTACGCCCCTGAATTCAACGTCATGTTTAGGAAATCTGGATCTAGATCTAGATTAACTAATTCTAAAAACATGAATCTGATCCGACCTAATGCACAGTTTACTCGTAACCATGCTAATATAGATTAGCCGTAGGGATAAAGTATGTTTCACAATTTCACAAGAATTTAAACTTTTCTTTTTTTTAGCCTCTGGTTCAATATTTAGAATAATATTTCTATGCTGTAGTTCATAGATATCGATATATTAATATCTGGTTCAATATTTAGAATAACAATTCTATTCTGTATTGTCATGATTTCAATATTTACTATAATATTTCTATCCTTACAGTTGTAAATATCAATTTTTAGAATAGTCTATGCTGTAGTTCATAGATATCAATATTTCGAATCAATATTCAGAATAGTATTTCTATCCTGTAGTTCATGATATCAATATTTAGAATAATATTTCTATCACTTAGTTCATGATTTCAATATTTAGAATAGTATTTCTATCCTGTAGTTCATTGATATCAATATTTAGAATAAAATTTCTATTCTGTAGTTCATGATATCAATATTTGGAATAGTATTTCTATCCTGTAGTTCATGATTTCAATATTTAGAATAGTATTTCTATCCTGTAGTTCTTTGATATCAATATTTAGAGTAAAATTTCAATTCTGTAGTTTGATATCAATATTTCGAATAATATTTCTATCTTCTAGTACATAGAAATCAATGTTTAGAATAATACTTCTCTTCTACAGCGCATGATTTTAATATTTAGAATAATATATATCTATTCTGTAGTTCAAGATTCCAATATTTAGAATAATATGTTCGAATTTATGGTCATCACAATTAGATCCTGTGAGGGTTAAATTAAAAAAATATCAGATGCTTTGCAACCATCTCTTTTATGTTTCGTAATAACAAATATGTGTATTTGATATTCCTAACGTTAAAAAATCACAAAAATTTTATTTCCCGACAATTGCGTAATTTTCTAGCAATGAATGAAATTAATTTGAATTTCTGGTTCCCTGTGAGACTCTTGCATTGTTACTGAATACTCTACGAAGTGAAAGGATTAAAGAACAATGGAGCCAGGTTCTCAAACAATTAAAACCATTTGTTTTCCCTAAGTCCTTGTTTTTCTCCCCAGGTGGCTCCACCGCTCCACTGGGTTTCAACATAGGAACTGCACTCTTATACTTTATTATAAACAATAAGGGAGTGCAAGTGTGATTTCTGTGTTGATATTGGGAAGGAAAGATCTATGGGAGGAGATATTGAGTTCAGGGGCGTATGAAGAGGGGTTTCTCTCCTTTAAAACTAAAAACTAATGTTTAATTATAAATCCTTGCCAATGAGTTTACACAAAACGTCATGAAACATATCATGACAAACATCCTAGTTACCTAGAACTGTGGATCAGCTGATAATTCGAGGAAATGAAACAAAAGTTTATTTTTGACATACTTTTGGTTTAGATAATCTTTTTATTTCTAATCCTTGCAGCAGCAGACTGTCTTCCGTTGATTAAAATATTCTGGGTCGAGTTGATTTTTTGTACGTAGCTATTTCGTATTTTAAGTTCAATCTGTTAAAAGAATCGATAATTTTCCACAAACTCTGATTTTCTAATATCAATATCTTTGCAACCCAATGTTATAAACATATTCATAGGTCAACATTTTATTTCTGTTTGATAAAATAATTAAAGTTTCAAATATCAAAGGTTCACATCATCAAGTTGTAAAGATATAGGGATCAGAAAATTTGAGTCTGTGGCAAACCTTTTAAATTCCTTTAAAATTAAAGAAATGACAAACTTATTTCAAATGTGACAATAAGGCAATTTATAGCAAGCATTGCTTATGGCAAAAGGAATATTGCCAGTGTAATTTACATGTTCAGTGCAATTATGGAAAATGTAATTATTGAACACGTATTATGGCAAATGTAATTATGATAAGTTAAATTATGGCAAATGTAATTATGATAAGTTAAATTATGGCAAATGTAATTATAGACAACGTATTTAAGCAAATGAAACCTGAGACAAGTAAAGAAGGTTAGGAAGTCAGATTACAATGAATCCATTTCTCCGCATATTTTTCCAGAAAACCTCACAATTTAGCTGGGG